ACATTATATAAACTATTAAAGAGACATGGAGGCAAGGATAGGAAAATGAGCATGAATAAAAATGTTATCTTTCAGAAGAGTGTCCAGAATACTTAATCTCAGAGCAAGTCCAAACTCTTGAGGACTGCTAAGAACTAAGAGGGCTTTTTAGTTGTTGGGTCAGAAAACAAGTAAACAAACAAACAAATAAAGAAAAGAATTTGGATAGTAGGGAGATAGAAGATAATACAATAGTGGATGACAGAAGAAAGAAGTCCTCCTCTTATTTTGATTCTTTTTCTCTCCACTATAATTATCTTCAGATGGGGAAGCTTAGCAGTTACATTTCCCAGAAGGATAAAGAAAAAAAAAGAGGGAAGAAAAAAATTAAGGTGATGAAATATGTGTGAGATCCACAGATTTATAGGAATGTAGGATTTCAAGCTTAAATATACAGAAGAGGTTTTGGAGCTCATAAGTATGGCCTTAAAATTTTACAGAAGAAGTAACTTAAGACTCTAGAAATTACATGATTTGCTCAAGTTTTCCGAGGTCAGAACACAACTAAGAACTCAAACCCAGGTGTTCAGATGTTAAATGCAAAGATTATCCTATTACACTATGAAGAAATAGTAAGTGTGCATGTGTGAGTGCATATATGTGCATACACAAACGCGTGTATTCATATACATATACAGACCCAGTGCATATGTATGTATTTATAGCATGTGTGTATACACGTTCAAAGAATTCATTCAAATAACCCTTATCAAAACATTATTTTTTACTTAGAAATAAGGAAAGAGAATCTAAACCATGAGGACAGGGATTAGACTGTTAATTTCATTGACATAGGGATCTTCTATATATGGGAATTCTTTACCCATGCAGGCTATCACATTCTCTAAAACTCATAGCCTAAGAGACATTGCTTAAATGTTGAGAGATTGTGTGACTTGCCCAGGGTCACACAGCCAGAATATATGTCAGAGGCAGGACTGAGTCTCAAGTCTTGCTGGTTCTGAAGCCAGCCCTCCATCTACTTAATATTCTGCCTCTCAATGCATGCCCTCTTTTCATTAAATTGTCAACTTCAAAAATGATCCTATTTTTCTACATCTGGTGTTAGTGACAATAACATGAGATAAATTGGTTTCTTTCTTGCCCAAGAATAGAAGTCTATTAGCATAATGAATGATTATTTTAGTGGATTGTGATAGATGGTGGGGAGTATGTTGTATAATCTAAAGGCAAGTAGGAGAGAAGAGAGGCAGAAAAGAGGCCAAACTGTAGGTGTAAAATATCCTCTAAAGGAAGTGAATTTTGTGGAATGGAACTTTTTATTCATCTAAGCTTTTTCCAGAGTTATGCAATTCCCCTGGCCAAGAGCATCCCCAGTTCCTTTCTTGTTTCAATAAGGCTTAATATTAAGTAACTGGTAGACACTACCATATTTTTTGTTTTTCATTTTTATTGGGTTTTGTTTGGTTTTGTTACATGGTGTAGTAAAGATGGACCAGGACTTTGGCATGAGGGAGATCTGAGTTGACATTTCAAATTAGATCCCTATTGGCTGTATGATTTGACAAGTCATTTAACCTGTTTGGGCTTCAGGCTCTTCATTTGTAAAAATGAGTTTAGAACTGATGGCTTTTGAAGTCCTTTCCTGCTTTTAATTTACAACCTTATATTATTGTTTTCCTTGTACTGTAAAGAATATGGATCATTTCCTTTTACCCTTGTTCTAAAAGTAATAAATGATATTTTGTTTTATTTTTGAGTTGGCTATGCAAAATAAGGAGAAAATATTTGAGTTATAATAATGAAAAGGAAAGGAAAATGATTTAGATATTACAGAGAATTCTGAAGTCATTTGTGGTCATCCATGCCAATTATATTACCTAGGTATTATTCTTTCTTTGATGCCTCTTTCTTCTATAGAATGCTACCTTAAATGTACGGCTAGATTTAAAGATACATTCAAAAAGTGTTTATGTCTTAGCCTTTTAAAACAAGCTTCTCCTAAGCTCCTCAGACCTCATCTCATAACCATTCATTAAGTGACAACCATGTGCTGGGTATGTGCCAAATATGTGCTAAGCACTGGGGATAGAAAGGAAAACAAAAGAGGGTTCCTGCCCTCAAAGAGCTAAGAGTCTAACGGGAAACAAGGAAATGAGCACCAACTATTTGCAGTCACTGATCTTAATGCTTTACAAATATCTCATTTGATCTTCATGGCAACCTGGTAGGAAGATGCTATTACTATCATTATTCCCAAATTGAGGAAACTGTGGCAGACACAGATGAAATAACTTGCACAGAGTCACACAGCTAAGATGTGTCTGAAGTTGGATTTGGACTCATTTTCTTGACTCCAGGCCAGCACTCTATGTAGCGTGCCACCTAGCTGCTTCTAGTGAGGGAGATAATATGAAAACAACTATATAAAACAAGATACATACAGGACAAATTGGTAATAATCAACAAGGGAACTCACTAGAATTAAAAAGGATAAAGGCTTCTTGTCTAAAGTAGGATTTTAGCTAGGACTTTGACAAAGTCAAAAGGCAGAGAAAAGGAAAGTGAGAATTCCAAGCATGGCATATTGCCAAGGAAAAAGTTTGAAATCAAGAGATGGAGTGTTTTGTGTGAAGAACAGTAACTAGGCCAATGTCACTGGATCACAGCGTGTCTCATATAAGTGAGGTCATAAAAGCATAATTTTGAGTGGTTGATTACCCACTCTATATTTTGACTCTAGGATGACTTGTCTGGAGGTAATGTACATGCAAGTGGTAGGGGTGCTCCTAGATGCTATATATAATTTTCAGCAATACAGATACAGAGCTGTAGCCATAAAATAGTTGTGTTTTTCTGGTCATAAAGTAATCATGTTTTGAAATTAAGAGGTTGATCTTTCCACTAAAAATAATCACATAATAGGTACGTAGATAAGAATCATTTGTCATAAAATAAAGTACTTTATAAAGCAAATAAATTTTTTTCAAGGTGAACATTTAGTCCTTAATTTGTCACTTGTGTAACTTTGGATTTTAATGTATTGAGTTGTGTAGAGCAAGAGCCGCCAGGCTTCAGGCCTAGAATCACACAGTTGGACTTCCTTGATGCCTTTCTTGAAGTCCATTTTCCCCCATGTGGGTCCAGCAAGAGATTTCTTTATCAACTGAATTCTGAACCTAAACTCCTAGTAGTTTTCTTTTGATTCCTTCCTCATTGGTAGAGAGAACATGACAGTCACACATACACTGGACACATATTCTCCTTAATTTTAGAATTCTACGTGTCTCAAATTCTCCTCTCGCATTTTCTTAGAAAAGCAGTCCTTGTAATCCACACTTAGAGTGTAAAAACTGTATGTTAAAAGGGCAGTACATATAAATATACAGCTATACTTTACAGATTTCAGTTATACTTTACAGATATTTTACTGCATTATAACTTAATCATTATTGCTTCTACTTTAATTTTACCTTTACATTTATGTTCTTTGATTTGATCATTAATGGTAATGACCTCACATTTTTATTTCCATTTTTCACTCTTTTGGGGCTTAACTATGAAGAGAACTATCTATCTATAGTTACTATAGCCCCCTAAATAACTGTCATAGGTTTTGTTTTATTGTAGATAACAATCTTTTCTAAACCTTAACAGATGAGCTTCAATAGATTTAGTTCCAAATAAAATCCTCTAATGAAATAACATAGTAATAAATTAAAATAGTAATTCATTCTTCTATAATTGTTAAGCTTGCTCATCCACAAATTGATAAACTTATTGTGTAATAAGTATACATTCTGAAAGAACACTCTGGGGGATAAAGACATGAGAAACCCTCATTGTGAGAGTATTAATATGAAGAACTAAGATAGACATATTTCACACTGATTTTCAAAATTCCTATAATATTAAATATTTATATTTTAATGGAAAAACCTTTCCAGTCATTGCAAACTAGATTTTCAGAAACAAAATATTATAGCAACCTTAAAAATAAAGGCAAATAATAATTATTTTTACTCTGCAGCAACTTTTTGTTCTTTAAAATAGAAAATATAAATCACTTCACTTTTCTTTTCTTGTTTCCTTGTCAGTAAAGTAAGGGGGATGGAGTAATGTACCTTTGAGATCCCTTCCAGATTTCACATTCTTGATTCCCATATTATATGCTTTAAAAACAATTAAAACACACACACACATACACACAATGTAAATATGTGTATATCACAAATTGCAAATGAAATTACATTTATATGCAATTTCAATGAAATACTGATACAGTTGCACTCAAGTGAGTAGAGGCAAAAATATAAACATTAGAGACTCTTCCATCTATAAAGTTCAGTTACTGAGATTTTTCTAATCTCTTCCTCTTGAACTATTTGTTTTGTGGCACATCATTAATATATTTGATAAACATTTGAAGCAAAAATATATTTTTAATGCTGTTTAATAAAGGAGATATTGAAGCAAGATTTTCAAAAGATACTGCTCAGAGCTTTGTTGAGGAAAGACTGATGGTGTTGGAGATGTGTTTTAAATCACAGTGGTTCCTGAGACAATTTTCTTCCCTCCTACCCTGACACACAATAAGTAAGGTTCTACATGGAATTTTCTCATAAAGCCTTCTAGGGTAGGGTTGCAATAGGTGAATACAATAAAACAACCAGCAACAAATAAATAGCAACAATTGAATAAAAGTGTGGCAAGAATAAATAGAAGTTCTTTATAACCAAAGTCTACACATTTCCAAAGTTTAAGGATTTCCTGATGTTTCATCTCCCACCAGTCTAAATGAGTTGAGGAAACAGGGACAGATGTGCTAACCCGCCAACTTAGAGTAATGGCGTGACTAATGTTTCTTAACTAAAGGGATCATGCCTCAGAGAGTGAATGAGAATAAGACTGACAGAGTTCCCTGCAAGGATATTGATCCACTGACTCTTTTCTGGTAACCATTACAGAGACATGAGCTGACAGTAATTAAAATGACTTACACACTGGGATGGTTTCAAACTCAAATCTTCGACTGAAGACACCATAGCCTGCTGCTGTGCGCGCTCTGATTTGGAAGACATATACTGAAGCCGGTTTCAAACCATCTGCAGTAATAGCTGTCTCTTTAGATTTGATAATTGTGTAGCTGGTCTCTTGATCCTTGGCCCACACATACACACGTATACCAACAAACAAAGATAAAGGTGCGTATTAGAGAAAACAAGATATATCAGATCAGTAATTAGTAAAGTACAATTAAGGAATGGATGCTTGGATTCTCACTTAAGTTAGATCTAATTCTTAAGAACAATCAATAAACACAAACATATTGTTTATGCAGGATTTAAAAGTATTCTCTTTCAACTAACATGGACTTTTCAGCTAGATGTTGAGGATACAAAAGCAAAAATGGGACTCTCTCTACTCTCAAGACACTTAGAGGAGAGACAACATATACAGAGTAAAATATATGCAGAATAGATATAGGGTAATAGGAAGGAAGGACACAAGAATTTATTAAGTACCAATTATTGGCCTTTTACAAATATTATCTCATTTGATGCTTACAACAATCCTGAGAGAGAAATACTATTGTCATCCTCATGTTACAGTTGAGGAAACAAGCAGGCAAGTGACTTGCCCAAGATCACTTAGCTAGTAAGGGTCTGAGGCTAGATTGAACTCAGGTCTTCCTGACTTCAGTACCAGTGCTGTATCCTTTGTACCATCTAGTTGCCACAAAAGGGGAAACCACTGGGAGCACAGAAAATGTAAACTGGGCAGAGTTTTTAGGGAAAAAAAAATGAAGGATTCCAGGAGGTAAAGGAGAAGAGGAAGTGCATTCTAGGAATTGGGACCAGCCTGTGCAAAGGGACAGACATAGAAGTACAGTGACTATAAAGTTTGTGGAGGAAAGTATAATATCCATCAGCTATATTTTGCAAAGGTTATTTTGGAGCTCTTCTGTAGTCATTTTAAAAGAGAATAAATTGTATTATTAATAGTGATTTTTTCCAAAGGTCTGAATTAGGGGAAAATAACCTTGAAATACACTTTGAGTCACTGTGGTTTCATGTATTATCAATCATGCTTCCAGTGATAGATTAAAACTGCAATAAGGCTGGGGTTAGACTTAGGTGGAATCTAGAAAGGGTATCATCTAGTTCTTTTGAGGAGAAGTTTTTTACTTAATTCCACTGATTTTCAAAGAATGACAAATTTCCTTCAAGCCACCATCTGTTTTATGTACCCTTTACTGTGTTTACATTATGTGATAAAGGCAGAGAGGAAAGGAAAAAAAAGTGGAAAATGAATGGAATGATAATGATCACTGCTCTTTCTTTTTCCCTATATTAAATCCTGCCAAAGTTATGCATGTTGAATGTGAGCTAATCAGCCCAAACCTAACTGAATTCACCAGTTTCATTAAGCATCTACTAAGATCATGACATTGTGTTACGAGCTGGGATATAAAAATGAAAATGATATACAAATTGGAGCCTTAACATCTTTTGTATAATAGCATAATATAAGCCCCAGTAAGGCAGGAATTCCTTATAATCAAAGATCTGCACATTTCTCAGAACTGTTCTCTACATATTTCGTTCAATTGTTCAGTAGTATCTGATTTCTGTGACCCCATGTAGGGGTTTGCCAATTCCCAATCCAGTGCATTAAGGGAAACAAACAGAGCTTTAAGTGATTTCTTCAGGATCACATACTTCATTATTATTTGAGGCTGGATTTGAACTCAGGTCTTCCTGACTCAAGATCCAAAGCTCTACTCATTGGGCCATCTACCTGTCTCATCCTCTACAAATAAAACTTCAGGTACTGCATTTGCACACGTGGTCACAATCTATGTTACGAAATTTTCCTTTTCAATTATAGTCTGCCTCATACTGGATTCTAAATGTTTTACTTACTGAATACACTATTCAGATAGATTGTGTTTCTGATTAATGTTTAGGAAAATAAAACGTTTAAGGCTAGTTAATGGTTAATGCTAGGGTGAGAAATGGTTTAGCTTGATTCTTTATTTCCAGAAACTGACTTCTCCAAGAACTTGATTACCTACTGTAAATCTTAATGTTCAAAAATGTTTCAGGGAAATAATCTTTAAAGATAGAAATGTGTTATTGATTTTTAAAATGAGCTAATGGGAAGAACATGCAAAGATCTTTCTATTAAATGGGAGAAAATTGTGAGGAAGAAAATCACAATCTGTCTGCAGACTCCAATTTCTCATGGAGAATCAGTTATTGTAAAACGTTCATTGAACACATACAATGAGTTTTTACTATAGTCCCCACATTCTTGAAGTTTAATGATTATTGTCAGAAATTCAAAGATTTATTTTTTTTCATGATTCAGGTAGATAGAGCAAGTAACATTATTTTCCCATTTCTATAAGTGACGAACCCCAAATAAGGAGCTCCCCATGTTTATATAGCCAATGTCAGAGCAATGACATCAATCTTTTTTTTTCCTTCTGATTGCTACTTATTCCAATGATTTTACCCTTTGTTATATTGAATTTTGTCAGAATTCAATGCTCTAAATCTCTGAGGTATGCAGAAATATAGTCTTAATTTAAAAAATACCTCAATAATATTATTAATTTTATTTTGACACTTTGTTTTATATTTATTTTATTTTTTTCTCATTAAAATAGCATCAAAATAATTTTCATCCATTGATTCAGAACTGATGGGTACATATGCAGTACATTATAAAAATGAACAAAACCCAAGTCATTTCCTGACAGGTAAGAAACTTTTTTTCTTTTAAATAAATCTATCATCTGTTCCTTATTCCAATGATGAATTTGAAGGAAAATAAAAGGAGATAGCAGATCTGAGTTTGAATCCTGCTGTGCCACTTAGTGCCCATATAATCTTTAGCAAACTCTCTGGTTCCTGGGCTCCTCATTTTTACAATAAGACTGGATGGCCTCTGCAGTCATTTTAAGCTCTAGAATTATAATCCTAGGAAATCATTGTGGACTGGCTACTTATAAAACATGCTTAAGTCTCTTTTTTTTTATTACATTAAATTGAAAAGGTTTTTTACACAAACAAAGCCAATGCAACCAAGATTAGAAGGGAAGCAGAAATCTGGGAAACAATTTTTAAAACCAGTGTCTCTGATAAAAGCTTCATTTCTAAAATATAAAGAGAGCTGAGTCAAATTTATAAGAATATAAGTCATTCCCCAATTGATAAATGGTCAAAGGATATGAACAGGCAATTTTCAGAGGAAGAAATTAAATCTATCTATGGTCATGGGAAAAAATGTTCTAAGTCACTATTGATTAGAGGAATGAATGTCAAAACAACTCTGAGGTGCCACATCACACCTATAAGATTGGCTAACATGACAAAACAGGAAAATGATAAATTTTGGATATGTGGGAAATTGGAACACTAATGCATTGTTGGTGGAGTTGTGAATTGATCCAACCATTTTGGAGAGTAATTTGGAACTATGCCCAAAGGGCTATAAAACTGTGCATACCCTTTGACCCAGCAATAGCACTTCCTGGGCTGTATCCCAAAGAGATCATAAAAATGGGAAAAGGAGCCACATGTACAAAAATATTTATCATAGCTCTTTTTGTGGTGGCAAAGAATTGGAAATTGAGAGAATGCCCATCAATTGGGGAATGGCTGAACAAGTGGTGGTATATGAATGTAATGGAATATTAGTGTGCTATGAGAAATGATGAGCAAGTGGATTTCAAAAAAAGACCTAGAAAGTCTTATATGAACTGATGCTGAGTGAAATGAGCAGAACCAAGAGAACATTGTACACAGTAACAATCACATTCTGTGATGACTGACTGATAAACTAAGCTGTTCTCAGCAATGCAAGGATCTAAGATAACTTCAAAAGACTCATGATGGAAAATGCTATCCATATCCAGAGAAAGAACTTTGGAGTCTGAATGAAGATGGAAGCATACTATTTGCTCCCCTTTTCTTTCATTGTTATGTTTTGTTGTTTTGTTTTCTTTTTTCTCACGGTTCCTCCCATCAGTTCCAATTCTTCTTTATATCATGACTAATGTGAAAATATGTTTAATGTGAATGCATAAGTAGAGCCTATATCAGATTGCATGCCATCTTGGGGAAGGGAGAGGAGATGAGAGAGATAAAATTTAAAACTCAAAATCTTATGGAAGTGAATGTTGAAAAGTAAAAATAAATTAATTAAGAAAATAAGATAAAAATGGGCATGGGGGTAGTTATGGTTCTTTAGTACAATCTGAGAAGGCAGAAAATTATTTTATTACAATATCTGGTTCTGACTCTATGACCTTCAGTGAACGATTTAAGTTGGCTTACTCAGTTTACTAGTTGTCAAGGAAGATGAAAGAGTTTGCTTATTTGAGCTTCTGGGAAACTTGTTTTGACAATACTCAATGCCAAACATGATGAAGAAGTATATGTCTCAGTAGGTGGAAACTGATTGTGACTGCTTTCTTCACATTTCATTTTGTGCTGGCAGGTAGAGAGCCAGATTTGCCCCAGCAAATGTTATTGAAGTTGATTGTTCTTAGAATACCCAAGTGGAAAACATCAACAGTACTTGTGAAGACACAAGGCTTATTGTACTAATCCACTATTTTCCCATTTACTTGCTGCCAGAAGGAAATGGTTTCAAGGAACTTTTATTTGGTATTATTTATTGTCATTTGCCATATATGAAGTATATGACTACAACTAGTATATGCAATTCTGGTATACTCGACTTAAATGTTATTTTGATACAAAATGCTGATGAGATATATCATCTTTATGCCATAAAAGTGAATCATTTCTGGGAAAAGAAATCATGTTGCATGACAACAACCCTATATAATAGAATATACTTTTTTCTAGAATAAGAAGGCAGGAGGCAAATAGGAAAAAAAGCAGGACACTAGAAACTTACTCTCTAGAATTATATAATGTATCCTATTCATTACGCAGAGTTCTGATTTAATCTATTTATGTAGTTGTGTGCTTCTCTGTGGTATCATACCTAGGGATCTAAGTGTCATTATGAGCTAGCTGAGAATTGATTGTTACATCACATGGTGACTAATGAAGCATACCACAGTGCTATGTTTCAGAAAATACACACATACACACATACAAAATGCTTGTAGAGTGCCC